ATCTTACAGATGGGGAAACTGAGGGCGAGGGAACCTCCTGGGAGCTAGTGGCAGAGCTGGGTCTGGCGTCCAGGTTATTAGTCTACAGCGACCATAGCTGGGGGCCAGGGTGGTTAAGAACCCTGACTTTCTGGCCTCTGTTTCCAAAGGCAGGGGAAGTGGGCCCACCCCCATTAATAGGTTAGGTACAGAGCTTGGCAAAGATGCTAAGTAGTTAGAATTAGAGGAACAATTGGGCCCATGAGGTTCAGGGAGTTTCTCCCTGGGGTGTGGGTGAGAGAGAAGTTGGGACCAGGAACCTAGCTTTTCCTCCCTCCCCTGCCAACTGGTGGATTCCCTGTCTAAACACCAGGCTCCCCGCCTCTCCCCATCTTTCTGGAAAGGGTCTTGGAGAAGGAGCTGGAGCTGACGCCTCTCGGCCTGGCACTATTGCTCTCTAGCTTTTCTGGAGCCATGCAGGCAATTGGCTTCCCATTGGTGGTTTAAATTGTCTATCCTGGGCATTGGTACCATGAGAACTGGCAAACGCTACAGAACAGAGCTCCCCAGCTGTCTGTCGTCCCTGAACAGATACCAGCGTCCTACAGGACCCATCTGAACACAAGGGCCTCTTCCCAAAGGTCCTGATCACACTCTGGCTGGAAGGTCAGGCTTAGGTATCACCCCAAATACCAACAGCAGGGGAAGCAGGCTTAGAGGCCAGACCTCTTAACTTTCAGTTGGGCTCCCCTATTCCAAGGTTTGAGAGCAATTGAAACAGGGACTATATGGGAATCTGCTTCAGCTGGTAGGCAGACTGGCTCTGATGGCTGGGATGAGAGCAGCAGGCCCCTTGGAGGCCATCTAGAAAGAGTCTTCTGTCAACAACCTGGCCTGCATATCTCTCTCTCTCTCTCTCTCTCTCTCTCTCTCTCTCTCTCTCTCTCAGCAGACCAAGGGCATTGGAAGAGGCTGAGCTGGTCCTATCATTTAATTACATTGTCCCTGCCTGAGCAACCCATCTCCTCACAATCGACTCTTCTGCCTCCAGTCACTGTTGTCCCCAAAGTTCTCCTCTGCACCAGTGCCCAGGAGTCCTTTCTCTTTAAGTCCTAACTTTCCTATCTCGGCTGTTTCCTGGTCACTGTCCCTTCAGTGTCCTGAAGATGCCTCAATGCAGCAAGTCCAAAATAGAAAGATCGACTTCCCACAGCCTTTCCCCATCTGAGTAAATGGCACACTCCTCCCCAGGGCCTTTGCACCTGCCGTTTCCCCGTATTTGAACAGCTCTTCCTTCCTCTCTTCCCTCAGGTGTCAGCTTAGATGTCACCTTCTCAGAAACAGCTTCCTTAAGAACTTTCCCCAGGCAGCTCCCTGTGCCCCATCTCTCCCGCCTCTTTTCCTTTGTCCTTACCACACAGGTTCCACTTGTGAGCCAACTCTTTACTGCACCAACTCTCCAACCGCCTTTTTGTTTGGTTTTGAGACAGAGTCTCCTATGTTGCTCTGTGTGCCCTAGAACTTTCCGTGTAGACCAGGCTGGCATGGAACTCCAAGTGATCCATCTATCTCTATCTTCTAAGTGCTGGGATTAAAAAGGGGCGCCACCACACCCAGATTCTACTTGTCTCCTAACAAATTTTTGTTTTACTTTTTTTTTCTTGTGTCTGTGTGTTTGATTGTATGCATGTTTGTGTTTGTGTGGGCAGATATGTGCTTGTGGATACATGTGTATTCGTATGCATAGAGAGGCCCAAGGCTGACAGTGGGCGTCTTCCTCAGTCCCTCTCCACTTTGCTCATTGAAGCAAGGTCTCTCAGGTAAACCCAGAGCAACTGAGGGCTACTCTAGTTAGCCAGCTTATTCTAGGAGCCCTGCTTTGTCTTTCCTGGTGCTTGAAATTACAGACGGGCTCCCATGCCTACCCAACATTTACCTGGATGCTGGGGATCTGAGTTCTAATCCTCATATTTGCAAGTGCTTTGTCTACCGAGCTATCTTTTAAACAAATTTGACTGTGATCCTGTTCTGTCCAAAACCATTCGTAGTTTCTTCTTTGCTTTCAGGATAAAGCCCACCTTGGGTTTTGCTTACAAGGCCCTCCATAATGTGTTTCCTGTTGAACCTTGCTTCGTATAGACTCCTCCAAATGCATGTGCGTGTGCGAGCTCGCGCACGCACACACACACACACACACACACACACACACACACACACACACACACACTCAGCATTCAGAGCCGGGTGTACAATTTCTGTCTTTTGTTTAGTACTCCCTCACTTCTGTGGCCCTGTATGTTCATGTTTTTCCTTCATTTAGCCCTTCCTAATGCTATGACCCTTGACACAGTTTCTCATGTTGTGGTGATCCCTAACCATAAAATAATTATGTTGCTATTTCATAACTGTAATTTTGTTACTATTGTGAACCTTAAATATATATTTTTTTGGAGACAGAGACTTGCTAAAGGGGTCACAACCCACAAGTTGAGAACTTCTCTAAGCAGTGACTGTTTCTAGAGCAGAGCCTAGGGGCCAGCCCTGTGCTGAGCCCTCGGGGGAGCAGTGACTCTCTCCCTCTTCTCCAAGTGTTTCCGGTCTGTCAGGGAGGGAGACTTGAAGCCACTGTTCCATCTCTAGGGCCTCCCTTCTTGTTCCTGGTCATTCTGATGTTCCTTCAATGGGTCCAGCCAGATCTCTGGGGGCTCCTACATAGAGGCAGCCCCTGCCCTTAGCCTGTGTCTAGCTGTGGATTGATACCCTATAGAAAAGGCTGGATTTGGATCTGCCCTTGCTTCCATCCCTTGTTCGGGTCCCCAAGGCCCAGGACAGAGCATGACTGAGTGGAGGGGCCGTTGAGTGACTCAAGGCTGTCTTGTTTGCTGGGACTTTGAGCCTTGGCCCTCTTCTTCCTCAAAGACTCAGTCAGACCTTGCTTGGGGCAGGGGTGGGGTGGGTGGGTGAGTATCAAATGACTGAAGTGTATACATAGAGTGGCCCCAGTCTTCTGGTGTGAGTGTGTGTGTTTGCACTCTTGGGTAGTTTGTCAGCAGTGCTTGGGGATGCTGTGTTCTCTCTGGGCACATGCCCACAGGTGATTTGTGTCTGCTCCGAGTGGTCCTTCCTGTGTTGTCTATGCAGTCTCCAGCATAGTCATAGTCAGCAAAGATCTAACAGCAGTGAAGGCCCATTGCTTAAGACAGATGAGCTGCCCCCAAGCCCTCAGCTGGCAAGGTGGAGAAACAAGTGCCAGGGGCCCCTCCCACTAACAGCCCATCCTCTCCGGCTGTTGCCTCCCAAAAGCCCATTGAGTACCCATGGGTCAGTTCCCAGCCCCTGGAGGAGGGGTGTGCCCAGGGCTGGTATCCATTCAGTGCCCAGAGAGGGCGGTGATGAGTGTGGTGTTGGCCGCTTCTTGTACTTGTTCCAGTACTTCCATGGTCTTCAACCCCACGGCACACTCACACACTCACTGGCACAGACACTTGGAGATACACTCAGTGACACAGAGGCCAAACACACTGGATCAGGGACACAGCATACACATCCGTGCCTACAGACATGTGCCAGCATGAACTCAGGACTCTAAAGAGGAGCACATAAAGACACTGACACACTCACAGAGACCAAATGCCCAGAGTCACCACTCACATGCAACAGGCTGGCAGGAACATCCCTTTGGCAGGTCACAAACTCTCGGTCTCAGTGCACTGACACATTGCCCCATGCAAACACTGACACAGGGTCACAGAGGGGCAATCACAAACAAGCTTTCATCCAGACACACACCACATTTGCAAATGCACATCTGTAGGCACACCAATGGATGGGTACATATGCACACACAGCTAACCAGCGTGCCCACCCAGCCGCGACTGGAGCCCAAGCTGCCTTTGAAATTCAAATCCTCACTCCCTTCCTCCACCCCGTGGCCTTGCTGTCAGCCCCAGCACCCCTGCTGCCAACCCAGCTAGCAGCTCAGAGCTCACTGTGTCTGCCCGCCTTGAGAAGTGGAAATTAAAATTCATTCCAGGGGAGATCCAGCACAGCATGGGGTGCAAGCAGCCCCAGGGGTGGGTCCCTTTATGAGCAGGAAGAGGTGCGGGACACCAGAGAAGAAGGTGTCTTCTCTAATGTATGACCTTCAACCAATCTGCTGTCCAGTTGCCTCAGAGTTCCCACAGAAAAGGGACCTCTGGGGAAGGCCAGTGCAGAGCTAACCATGTTGGCTGGCCAGTCATGGCTGAGGTTTCAGCCCCAGAGGGAGGGTGCTTCCCAGAGAATTGTTCCACACATCCCTGAAGGTAAGAATCAAGATCTACCCTGCATATCTGCAGACACACATCATGCATGTACTCATGTCCCAGACCTAGGAACGAACCTTCAGGCATATACCAATAGTGTCATATGTGGACCCCCCTGGAAGCTGGAGACTTGCTTGCATCTTGAAGCACACATAATGAAGCTGGCAAAGGTGTACACTGAACCCACTGGATATATCAGATCCCTGCCACACCCTGACTTACCAAAGGCCAAACACACAAAGACCCGATAACACTGTCTACACACACACACACACACACACACACACACACACACACACAGACAAAGACAGAGACACAGAGAGAAAGATAAACACAGAGGCAGAGGGAAGGGGTGTGAGCATGCAAGGGGATGGAGGTGCCTGTGAAGCAGCTCCCAGATTCTGGTCCAGGGAGGGACAGGAGACTCCCTCCAGAAGGACAGGGACTCTAGGCAGGCCTGGGGAACTGATGCATCTATCCGTCTAGGCTGCCCTGAGTCCTCTCCCCTGGGCTTTGTACCATCTGGATCCTGCCAAATGGGCTTGTGCCAAGCAGGACACAATGGGCAGAGAGGGAGGGTGGGGACACCTAGGGAGTCAGGGCACCAGCTCACGCTGCTGAACCCCTCTGGGGCAGACACTAGGCCAGATGCTTTTCGTTTACCGTAAAAGAACCTCAGGCCCACCCTGAAATCTCCATGCCCACCCCATTTCACAGATGAGAGACTGAGGCAGACAGGAACCATGTCTCTGCCTCATCCAGGGTCTGTGCAAGACCTTGCCTCAGCCCTGCCCTGCCTTCGTCCTCCTTGCCACCTCCCCCAGAGGACAGACCAAGCACCAGCTGTGGAAAACGATTTATTTCTGGATTAGAGTTGATCTTCCCAAGAAGACCTGCTCCCTCAGGGTGACAGCCTTGGAGGGCTTGACTCCTGGCACTGGATCCTGGAAGAAGCTGGCCACCAGCTTTGAGGACAGGTGATCAGAGCTGGTGAGGATTACTGAGAACAAGGTACAGGACCACTAACGCCCACACACTTCCCTGGCAAGCCAGACCACACACCCCACCCACACACCCCAGGAGGACATTCATCCCTTGGAGTATTGCTGTCACTGCTGGGAGAAGGAGTGGGCCTTCTGTTTCTCCACCATCCCTAGGATAGTCTGCTCCAGGCTGGGGGGTAAGGCCCGTGGAAGGAATGAAGAGGGAGAAGAGGTTCCTGAAGGTTATGGTCAGAGGGGGCGGGGCTCAGAGTGCCTGGCTAATCCCGTGTTCTGCATATCAGAGTGGGAGTGAGTGGGGCTGCGGGTACATGAGTGGGTGGTTGTGTGCGTCAATGTGTAGGGGGAGAATCTGTGTGTGTATGGTGTGCCTGGGTACAATCTTTGTGTGTGTCTGCCTAGGCCTTGTACGTCAGGAGCTGCTTCTTGCTCTGAGATCTGCTGCTGTGTCTCTGTGTGTGTGTTATGTGTCTCTCTGTGTGTGTTATGTTTGTATTTCCATGCATTTCCTTTTCCTGTTTGTGTTGTATATGTGGTGTAGAAAACACGTGTGTACAATGCTGGGGTTTGTATATCTATCTACTCAGAGTCTGAGTGAATGTGGTTTGTGTGGACAGAGCAGGGTTTGTGTGTAACTGGGGCTGTGTGCAGATGGACATGGTATTCCCCGCATTCAGCACACGCCCGGGATGGTTACCAGGGCCAGTCCTTAAGGCCTGAAGTAGGGAATTGTGGGATTAGACTAGGGGAAGAAATTATCAAGAGAATGTCTGGGCTGCTTCCTTTGAGGAACTGTGTGTGATTCCTGACCCCAGCCTAGCGCAATGGGTGAGAACATAAGTAGACGAGTACCCTCTAGACCAGAAAAATGGGATCGGGGGACTAGGGGATGCATTTTAGTCATATGCCTGTGTTTCATCACAGACCTGCAGGGGAGAGGATAGAGGAGGGTTCTGCAGGGAAAAGAACACAGACTTAGTGCATACACACATACACACAGAGACACACACACACACACACACACACACACAAAGACACACAGAGACACACACATACACACACATACACACACACACATACACACACACAGAGACACACCAGAGACACACACACACACACACACACACACACACACACAGAGACACCCCAGAGACACACACACACACACACACACACACAGAGACACACACACACACACACACACACAAAGAGAGAGAGACACACACACACACAGATGAGAGAGATAGACACACACACACAGAGACAGACGAGAGAGACAGACAGACAGACAGACACAGAGAGACACACAGAGACAAGAGAGACAAACAGACACATACACAGAGACAGAGACGAGAGAGACAGACAGACAGACACACACACACACACACACACACACAGAGAGAGAGAGAGAGAGAGAGAGAGAGAGAGAGAGAGAGAGAGAGAAAGAGATAGAGAGAGAGAGTGATCGAGTGCAGAACACAACCATGCTGGCAGCTCCCACTTGGTGTCTCACACTTGGGCTTCCCTGGGTTCTTCTCTTTATGGGTCCAGCTGCTAGGTCTTTCTATTGTGGAGGGCACTAGGAAGGGGTCATATTTAGGACCCAAATTCTGGGTCATTTCCATGTCCTCAGAATCTAGGCCAACCCTGGGCCTTGAGTAAATCTGAAAGGAACCTACAGTCACACAGATGAGCCCACCTGGGCACAGCACCATGCTAGGCACCTTGTCCTTGTCATCTCTATGACTGATAAGTCCAAGTCATTATTTCTATTTTACAGAAGAAAAAAATGAGCCTTGGAGCACATAAGTGACCTGTCTAGGATCACACAGTTAGTGACAGATGGAAGTTTCTATTTCATCCCACAAGAAAGGAAGATTTATGTCTGGGGAGCATGGGTCCAGGGTCATAGCTCAAAAGCTCTGGTGGAGCCAGTTGTCTTGGCTCTTTTATCATTCAGTCACTCAGCAAGTACTTCCTGAGTACCCACCTTGTGCCTGGTGTATTGCTGGGTGTCAGGGGATCCAGCTATGAATAGACAATGTCCTGCCATTATGGGATTCACCGTTTACAGTTGATAGGCACAGAGACAGGGAATGTATGTACAAAGAAAAAAGTACATTTCAGAGTGATGAATGCTACCAAGAAAGTTCAACTGAGGCATGATATGAACAATGGGGGTAGTCAGGAAAGTAACATGAAGGCTCATCAGAAGGGGTGAGCCATGGGAACTGCTAGGGAATAGCTCGGACATTTCCATAAACATGAGCTCCAACTGGGACCAGTTGGGGCTCAGGGCATGTGGAGTGGGAGGAGGAGGATGGGTCTGCAAAGGCCAACAGGGACAAGGACATGCATAGTTTGGAACTGTAAGAAGAGGCACTTGTGTTTACATTGAAGAAGTGGTTCAGTGGGCCCTGAGAGAGTGTCCTGGCATGAGGGAGGTAGGAGTAGGAACCCAGGGGTGTGGTCTGAGAGTCCGCACACTTGGACTCTGTTGTTGGCAGAGATGCTGTGGAGAGTGGGTACACTGGGGATAATTTTGGAGGTAGAGGAAGACATGAACTTGCTGATAGGCTGGTTCCCAGTGCCTAGAAGACAGCAAACATTCAAAACGTATTTGTTGGATGAATAATTTAAAAAGAAACCTGCCTGGTACCAGGCTTTACAGTCTCTCACAGTTGCCCTCTAGTTTGAGACACAGATGATCACCCAGGACCCTAAAGGACTTCTACCCCTGGGGCCAGAGAATGCACACACTGTGAGAATACACGGCACACAACCAGGCATCGAGCCTCTGGGAGGATTTGGTGAGGGAGCATCTAATTCCCCCCTTCTCTCCCCAGTCTCCAACACCAAGGAAATGACAAACATCTAGCCCAGATGACCCATGAACCCTAAGACCGTTAAGTTAGACTCGCAGGACTTCCTGCAAGCAAGAGGACAGACAGTCTGCCTTTCATAGCATAGCTCTTCAGGACCTATTACACCCCCCACCCAAACACACACAGCATGGGGGTGTTATGAACATGAGCGCTGGGGCAGACCTTGGGGATGAGATTGTTGAACGGATTTGGGTATTTTGGGGAACATGTGAGCTCCTTAAAGGTGTCTCATGTGGTTGTGGAATTGGCAGAAGACTTTGGTGTCCTGGACATGAGTGGCCCTGGGATGCCTGGCTGAGTGGCAAAGGGTGAGCAGGGGCTGAGTGAGGGGCACTCTAGGTCTCATCGGCTGTAAGGAAACCTGCCTAGGCTCTGGGCCAAATAAATCATTGGGAAAGGAAGAAGAACATTTTCTCATCTGTTTAAAGGGCAACGAAGCATAGCAGCTCTGGCCCAGCGGGAGGCGAGGCTGAGGCCAGGCGGGTGAGGTCAGGAAGCTCCCTTGCTTGACCCTCGTCCTCTCATGAGCTGCCCTGATGGCCTTGGCTTTAACGGTGTACTGACTCTTAGCTGGGGTATTGGTAGTGGTTATTCTTAACAAAAATATTAATTAATTGCAAATAAGATTATTATTGTAAAAAGGTCCCTCCTCAGGCCCTAGTACTTGCTAATCCATTTTTTCGGACCTTCCTGGACCCTAGGCTGAGATGGTGTATGCTTTACACTGTTCCACAGATGAGAAGACAGAGGCCCAGAAAGCTGAAGGGATTTTCTCAAGGTCACCCAGCATAGCAGTAGATCAGGGTAGGAAGACTAGCTCCCTACTGTCCACATGTGCTTGGCCCCCTTCATCTCATTACAGGTTCAAGAACAGACCCTCATGGGACACAAGAGCTGGGCTCACTGTTTTTTGCTCAGAGTGTAAGAATAGAGGGTTGGCCCTCCACTCTGCCCAAGCTGTCTGTTACTGAGCTCTGCCAGGTGTCTCTTCCCAGGTTGTCTCAGCCCCAGGCTCCCTGGGGGAGGGGGTGTCCCTCCTGGGGCTAAGATGCACTCTTCTCACCCCCGCCTGGGCTGTTCAGAGAAGTAATTTCTCTTCAACCAGCTGGATTTGAATATGGAAACAATTTGTAATTACTCCATTTCCTCCTGGGGGGGCGGGCGGGCAGGCAGGCAGGCAAGGCAGGCAGGCAGGCAGTGGCTTTCTCACCAGTGTGAGTCTGGAAGGGCAGGGACTCCTGGGAAAGCAGGTGGCAGAAGCTCTGATACAGGGAGAGTCTTCCCAACATCTGTCCTAGTCCAGACAGCTTCTGTATAGCTGCTGACAAGTCCCACTGACTTTACTCAGTTTACCTAGCTTCTTCCTGTGAGTCTGCCCTGTGAGTCCCTAGGGTATGGAGTATCAACGATTTAACAGTCCTTCATCACATTTCCCCTAGTGCTTGGGATCAAGAAGTCATAACACTATCAAGGAACAAAGAAACAGATAAATAACATCCCTATCTCTCCAGAAGCGGCCCCTCCCATCACCCCTTACCCAGCTGGATCTCTCAGAGCAGAGGAAGAGGGTGGCTTTAGACATCCAGCTGCATCACATCTGTAAGAGACCTGCCTGTGTTTCTCTAGCATGCAAATGACATGGATATTCATAAAGAGGGAGACGGGCTCAGTATAGGAGAGGAAGGGGCTCGTGCTCTGGAGGGCAGGAAGACTATTGGTCCTTGCATCCTTGTGGGCAGTCCATGTCTTGATGGCTTTCCCCACTTCTGTCCACCTCCTCAAGGCTCCCATCAACTCTATTGCTTCTCCCAGGAGTGGAATAAGGAAGGAGCCCAGGATTTCCCGCGGTATCCAGTGGCTGTCAAAGCTTTGCAGATGGCAATGACTGCCTAGTTCAGCGTTCACAGTGGTAACCGAGCCTTCTAACTATGCCAGGGTATGGCTGAGGGTGCCTGGCAAGAATCTGGGAGCTCTGCCTGCCAGTGCTAGGCCTAAGGCATTGGCCTTCTCAGGGCTTCCACAGGGAAAGGGAAGGTGTAAGCCCAGACCCCCTCCCTACTTCACACAGCCTCATAAATTCCCTTAAGGTGACTGGTGAGATTCCTTCATCACCCCTTATTACCTC